TAAAGAAATTGGTTGAATTAGAGAATAGAAAATAATATCTTTGGAGAATCAACCAAAAAAGAGAAGAGAATGCAGAATTGGCCTTGATTTTCACGAAGTCATTTGTCTTTATGGATTGTAATTTGTCCATCTGTATGTCTATAGCACTGATCTTCATCCCAACAATGACAGGATTCTCCCTCATGAGATGGCCAGAAAGCAGACAGTAGCCAGGATACAGTGTGTAAGACACTTGAGGATTGCCTGCCACATGTGCCCCATGGGCAAATCCCTGACAGTGGGCACTCACTGCTATAGCTAGCTACTGGAAATTAGGGTGCTTTTCAATTGAAAGTACCCATCGTAGCTAGATTATATTTAAAGTGTGTCCAGCTGCTTTTAGCAGGACACCAAATCAAGTAATCCATATTAGAAATGAAATATTTTACAATTAATAATGCTTTGTGCCCTTGAAAACAGTTTCTGCACAATGTGTCGAGAAACACCCTGAGAGTTTGAGACTATGAATTAAAACTTGTTACAAATTTACCAATGCATCCACTTTTGATACTAAACAATCTCAACACCAAAGGTATCCTCAACAAAACTACCTGTGATAACTGATGCCTCCATATTTTTCAAAAGGTCAGATCAATGTCTTCAGTCATCATTCAATATTAGATACAACACATCTATGATCAAGACCGAAGAAAACTATTGAAAATAGAGAAAATAGAGAAAAGTTAGTGGTGGCCTTAGGGGTTGTTGCTCTAAGGAGTACCTTACAATATTCAAAGTAGACATCTTTACTCCAGGCAAGCAAATATCAAAACATTTTTTTTTTCCTTGAAAAAATTTAGCAAATATAAGCTTCTCAAACTGTCTTTCCCCTAAGGTTGCCACTGCAAGAGGATATTACAGATAAAACCTGAAGAAATCCATCATTTCATTAACATATACAACAAAACTTACTTTACATCCACCAATACTATAATAAAGATCACCTGACACTCTCTTCATACCACACTGGCATTCAATGAAAAGAAGAAAATGATATAATACTTAAACTGCTATTCACAAGCAGTTACACATTTTACCTTATCTAAAAGCTTAAGCAGTTGTTTCTTAAAACACAAGACATTCAACTAAATCTCTAGATCTTAGAATCTTTACCTTGACAATATACCCTGCATACCTGTCTTTCAGTTCAAAGTGAGTGTATACAATGTCTCGTAGTTGGGCGGTGTTAAATGGTGGGTCAATCAGGTTGTCGTCCTCATCAAACAACAACTTGACAGCTCTAGCAGCAATCCAGTAAGCTGTAGAAACAAGACTTCGTGAGATATGCATGATTTCCACCCATATTTTTCTCTACTGAGCTTTGGGCTGAGTTTTTTCATTTTGAATTATGATAAGTATGGTTTCCCTACATACAGAAAAATTTACATATGGATTGGCAACTTCTTTACTATCTGTATTTTTTGGAATTGCAAAATTTGATTCACACAAACTCAAAATTCAAAGTTCATATCCATAAGGATTATATTAGACAGCAAAATAAGTTTTACTAAAAGGTGAATCTATTAAAAACAAGTTTTGGATAAATTATGATAGTTTCTTTTCCTCCATACTTTGTTTACTAAAATTAATAAACATGACAGATATAATTTTCAGAGTATGATTCCATACTCATGATCTCTTGTTTACAATCTAATTTTTATCATCTAGACATGTCCTTAAGAAACACACAATTTATCAGAATTCATCATATGATCTGGAGTAACACTTGCCTCCTCCTTCATCACCAAGGAGGTGACCCCAGCCTCCACAGCGATAAGTCTTGCCATCAGGGTTTAGGAGAAGTGCGTTGCTTCCTGTGCCACTAATAAGGACAATACCACCTAGAGAAAAGGGAGAAATAAGTCACTTATTACTTTCCTTTATTCTTGGATGATTCAGACTATATAAATGGAGAGTCTAGTATTTTTAGGGCCCAATACCTTTACAACAACTACTCCAAACTGATACCTATAACTAACTTCCTACGGTAGCAAAGGCCTTACCATTCTGACAAGCAGTTGCAATGGAACCCTTGGTGTCAGAAGAAACAATCACGTGGCGGGCAAGGACAGGGTAACGCTTCATGAGTGCAGCTGCCATGTCACGGTTGCCTTCCTCGTCCTCACAGCCACTCAGACAGAGACCCTGCAACACAAAATGTCTGATTCAAACACAAGTTGTGAAGGACATGAAGAAAGGTAATAATGAATGCTATAGAAAAGAGGAAGTTCAGGAGAAGTGGAGCAAGAGGAGGAGGAGGAGGAGGAGGAGGAGGAGGAGGAAGTGGAAGAAGAGCTGGTGGAAGAAGAGGAGGAGGAAGAAGAGGAGAAAAAAGAAAAGAAGGAAGAGGAGGAGGAGGAAGAAGAGGAGGAAGAGGAAGTAAAAACAGAGGAGGAGGAAGAAGAAAAGGAGGAGGAGGAAGAGGAGGAGGAAGAGGAAGTGAAAACAAAGGAGGAGGAAG